CAAATTGGAAGTCAGAATGCAGTATTCATTTCTGACAATTATTTGTGTTTTGAGTGTAGCATGGTTTCTAGTCATGCTTACCACAATATAATGAAGTCAAAGCGTAGCTGCTTTAGTTGAATATCTGGGAATTTAAATGCCATTGAGAACATCATTATAATCAAATGATATACTCTACCCAAATAGCAACAGCTTGCAAATATGTCCTGGAATTCTGACTGCTTTCTTAGTTGTGCAGTTATTATATCATATATAGAAAAGAGGTTTCAAACTTTAAAATTCTATAAACAAAATTTTATTTTTTTTTAAAAAATTGTTTATTTCTTAATATCATATAAAACTATGTAGTGTACATAAAAAGAAAAACTATTTTGTTGATTGATTGATTGATTCACCCTTTCTTTTTGGTTATACATGATATAGTAGAATCTGTTTTTATATAACTATACCATCATGTTTTAGTTAGATCTCCATTCTTGTGGATGTAATGATGGTGGGAGTCACTGTGGTGTTTATGTATGTACATAGGAAAATTATGTCAGATTCATTCCACTGTTCTTCCTTTTCCTATTCTCCCTACCTTTCCTACATTTTCCATTATCTAAACCACTGAATTTGTAATCTTCCTCTCAACCCCCTTGCCGTGTGTTAGCTTCCGCATATTAGAGAAAATATTCAACCTTTGGCTTTTGGGTGCTGGCTTATTTCACTTAGCATGATAGTCTCTAGATCTATCCATTTGCTGGTAAATGTCATAAAGTCATTCTTCTTTATGGCTAGATAATATTCCAATACTACATTTTCTTTATCCATTCATCTGTTGAAGGCACCTAAGTTGATTCCATGGCTTAGCTATTGTGAATTGAGCTGCTATAGACATTGATGTGGCTGTATCACTCTAGAATGCTGATTTTAACTTCTTTGGATATTTACAGAGGAGTGGGATAACTGGGTCAAATGGTGACTTTATTCTTAATTCTTGAGGACTCTCCATACTGCTTTTTAGAGTGGTCGCACCAGTTTCCAGTCCCCACCAGCAATGAATGAGTGTACATTTTCCAATCAGCCTCACCAACATTTTTTGTTACATGTATTCTTCATAATTGCCATTCTTACTAGAGTGAGATGAAATCTCAATGTAGTTTTAAATTGCATTTCTCTAGTTGCTAGAGATGTTGAAATTTTTTTTAGATTAAAGTTTCTAACTTTAGAAAATTTAACACATATGTAAAAGTCACTGATCACATTGAGTTATATCTACTCACTTAGCTTGATACGTAGATATTTTAATTAATTAGCAACAAGTAATACTGTGCTAGCCAATGAAGTCAAGTTGTCATAAAATGTTTTATGTGTTTGATTGAATCAAAGAGAGGAAGAATTGTCAAAGAAGGACTAGTGATAAATAGTTACTATCTCCAATTAACACTCAACAAGTGTCTCTGTGAAAGAATAGTGACTGGTGAAGAGAGGACAAAAGAGAGTGTCTAGGTATGACAATTATTAGAATTCATTGGAAATTAATCCACTAAATTTTGACTTTGACATTTGTACTTAAAATAGTTTTGTTCTTTAATAAAAAATTTAAACTTTCTGATAACACTGTAGCTTATATTAGTAGTTGAATTAATAGATACTAAATTTATTTTCATTAAAATATCACTAACCTTGTCATCATAAACAGGTTTGGTTTATAAATAATACCATTCAAAACTTATTGTGTTTGTTGTTGCTGTTGTTGTTGGTGGTGGTCGTGGTTTTTGCTTATTATTTGTGTCATAGAATCAAATCTTCCTAATGTGGCATATGTGGAAAGATTACATTCTAGATGAATCCTCATTTTTTTTTTCTCAGCACTTGGAATTTTAAAAGCCATTTGACTCTAAGGGGTATAGGAATTCAAGAGCCACTACCACCAGCCATTCCTGTAGAGGAGCAAGATATTCATCCTGAGAATGAGGCTCCTTAAGGTTAAATAGAACTGGTTTTCATTGATTGTCTTCCCTAAGCTAAAAGAACAAGTCCATGCACACACATCACTGGTTGGAGTGAAAGGATATCATAAAGACTTGGATGTTGACTGGAAGCATTACTGGTTCCCTCCTTGACCCTTATTTTTGGTCTGGCTCCAAGATTATAGTTTTATATTCTCTAGGAAGTTAACTAGACAAATTGCATGTTTTATTTCATTAACCAGAAAAATGACCTAAGATGTCGATACGATACTTTTAATTGAAGTTTCTCTGATTGGTTTTTAAATATTGCTACCTACTCCAAGCTTATAAAAAACTGGATAATTACTTCAAAATAGTTATAAAAACTATTTCAAAATTAGCCAGGGGTTCATTATAATTTTTACCAAATTTTGAGTAATCGAATCCTTTTTCTAGTGACCTTCATTAGCATTTCTGATAACACTGTTACTTGGAAGTTATCTTGACAATGAATATTTTTGTTGATTTAATTATAATATCAGTAAATGCACCCATGCAGAAGTTGTAAACTTGCCAGTTAACAGAGTGTCAAACGGAATGGAAACTGAAACATAGGACCTTGTAAGCAGCCAACACCCAGGTCTCAGTCTTTAACAAGAATTTCCATCCCAACTATCATGCTAGTCAAACTTCATGAGCTTCATTAAACTTGTTAAGGAAGGAATCAGCCATCACTAGTGTTAGATCAGATGTAGAAAATCAATTCATTCATTCATTCAAGCATTCAGCAAATATTGTTTGAGTAACTCTGACTCTAAGGGATTGACTGTGCATGCCATTGATTGCATAGATAAAAACGAACAGCCAAAACAATGAGAAGATAGGCTCCATTGACAAAAGGAGTAATATGTTTACAGTGAGAAAATGCCATTGAATTAAAATTACAGACTCTTACACACACACACACACACACACACACACACACACACACACACAGTTTCAACCAACAAGTGCCTTCATCTAGTAGTTGAAAAAGTAGCAGAGTACTTAGCTATACATAGAAACTTCACACCCTAACAAGATCAGGTTAGGCATGTGACTAAAAGGGACTTGAACTTATCTTTTCTAAATGGTTCAAGGAAATATAAGAAAAAGTTCTGACCAATATAGTCTCATAAACGTTAAGGCAAAGTATAATCTCTACCAAGGAGTGCATAATGAAGAAATGATGTTTTAAAAAGAGATTATAATGTATGCAGAAGGAAATGAACATCAAACATATAAGAATTTTAGGGGAATTACTGAAAAGATATTTTGAAAACGTACATTGGAAATTTTAAAAAAGCCACAGATTTAAGAAATTGCAGTTAAGGTATTATCAAAAGTGTTAATGAGGGTTTATAGAAAAAGGACATGACAAAATGCTTTCTAAAATAATTCTCAAAAATAAATTAGAAAATAGCACAAGTAAAAAGTTATTACAAAGGACATGAAAGATATAGACAGTTGAAATTAGACAAAGATGTGTTAAAGGAGTACACAGAAAAAGTAAACAAATGGAGAAAAAACATCAAAATTTAATACTTCTTAGTAAAATTCTCAAATCTTCAATCAATTCTTTACATTGAAACTTTCATTTAGAAATATTAATATATAAACTGATCCTTTGAAATTCTTGAATAGCAAGAATTAGTAATCATATGATCACAAAGGGAAAAAAAATCATACACCAGAAGTAAGGGTGATATTAAAAATCAGAACAGACATATCAACCAATCTGAAGGAGGATGGGTTATAAGCACTCCATGCTGCTGTGGTCTCATAGTTCATAATTTCCATTGAGAGCTAGAAGTTTTGCTTTTTTGATGTGAGTCTGTTATGAAGTAATTTATACTTCAATCTGCCTCTTCTCACTGTGTACCAGATTACAAAGGTAATCTCATTGGGTAACTTCTCCTGTTACTATTCTCTGTGACAAGTTTCCAGTTTACACAAAATAAATCCACCATATTCTGACTTATAAGGGAAGTGAGGACTTTATGGCTTTTGAACGTAAAATACTAAGTAAGAAATTATGTTTTTAAGATTTTTAGTTTTTATTACAAGACATTACGCTTATTTTGATTAAAATGGTCAGTGGGCTGGGCTTGGTAGTGCACACCTGTAATACCTGCGGCTTGGGCGGCTGAGACAGAGGATCAGGAGTTCAAAATCAGTCTCAGCAATGGTGGGGCACTAAAGCAACTCAGTGAGAAACTTTTCTCTAAACAAAATACAAAATAGGGCTGGGGGTGTGGCTCAGTGGTTGAATGCCCCTGACTACTTCAATCTCTGGAACCAAACAAACAAACAAAAAAAAAAAACACAGTCAGTTGCCTTAAGAAGCATCTCTACTGGAGATGCCTTCCATGAATGATGAAACATCTAACTAGAGGCACAAAGAAACTATTCCACACCCTTTGCAGATGGGAGAGCTCTCAATCTGAAGATACCTTCAGATATTTGTCTTCTTTGTCATCAGATCATTGTAAAAATGTAATATTTTCTTTTATCACTACCTTCAATGAATCTCACAGTATTCAAATATATGCTCTTTATGTTGAACATAATATGGGTATGCATAACTTAATGGATATAGAAAGATAAAATGACTTTCTCGATGGGTGCTAGGACACAAAAAAGCTAACTTATTAACTCATTATTAAGTTAGTTTTATAATTATCATATAACAAGGAAAAAACAAATATACACTTCCTATCTTTCTTAGTATCCTAGATATATTTGTTAAAAAATATGTTATTAAGATCACTGTGAATGTGTGCACATTAATTTACTTGGGAAGTAAAAGGTGATATGTGGCCTTGCTTCATGCACATTTCAATGTAATTTTGGAGGTTCTGATGATTTTTGCTTCACATATAAATATAATTTTTAAATATTCTTTGTAATATATTCACTCAGTCTTCAGAGACTTCTTGTGCTCAGGAAAATAATCTAGCATTTTTGTGTTACATAAATTGTACCATTTTATTTGATAATAAAACACTTAAAACTTTTATTTTTTAGAATCGAATGAAGCAAACATATAAATGAGAGACCAGAGATAAATAACCTGTGGATATTCTTCTCATGTGATATTTATTCTGAATGAAGCATTAAGACATCTAATAGAGGTGTACAACTGTAAGTATTTTCAAATGAATATAGATGTTTTTGTTGTGTTTTGATAATGTCTATGTGCTACACTTTCACAAAATTGAAGACTAAAATATGTAGAATAGTAGCAGTGATTTATAAAAGATTGTAAATACCCAAAACATGAGCTGACAACACAATAACAATGTGAAAAAATCATCCTGGGTATAATCACTAAATTATAGAACAAATATCTGAGATGACCACAAGTGAAGGGCAAAAATAGAAACTGTTTATAGTCAAAGTGATCTTGGCCAGATTATATTTAGGAATGAGACTGTTTCTGATAAGAAAGTAAAATAATTGTAAAGCCATGCTTTGAAGGATAATAATCTTTCCATGAATAAGAAATACAATATGAGTTATAGGATTAGGAAACTAGAATGAGAGGATTTTATGGAGCATGGTTTTTAAGTTTTGATGGTATCTTTTATGTATAGAAATATCAATGACTATGAAACAAGTTCAATTAACAGAGTGCTGCAACTGTACCTAAATCTGTGGTCAACTGTACCTAAATCTGTGGTCAAGTCTCCGTTACCCACAGCATCTGCAAATTAATCACACAAACTCTTGCATTCAGAAAGAGAAAAGTCTTGTACACTGACCCAAGGGCTTGATTTGATCTATAAATAAATACTTTCCTCCTAATATTCTACAACACTTTACTCTAATTCAAGTTTAAGTGCTATTATAATTGGTGAAAGATTGAGTTTGATAGCAATTTCACTGTTTGTGGCTTATTCTGTTTCTTAGGTCACACTGTCTTTAATCCTGTGACTTAAAAAGGAAAATATAACCTCAGAGGGAAATACACAGAGATTACATAATAATAAAACATTAAGACCATAAGGGCTTCTTTAGGATTTGAAATCATGTGTAGACATTCTTCTTGATACTTGAATGGAGCACACCAGAACGGCATTCTGAATCAGCCAGAGACACCTGCTCAACCAATGGCTTCATATTTTGAATATTTCCCCAACCTACAAATATGTCTTCTCTTGTTTCATTAGCCAGAAAAAAAAATCAGATAATGAAAGATCTTTTGAACATCCTATGACATACAGCATATTTTTTCCCAAAGTGGAACATGTGATTTTGAAAAGTCCTGATATGGGAAACAATTTAAATTTCATTAGTTTATTCATAGATTCAAAGGTATTTTACTTCATATAATATAGGAATAACAGCATTTCTACTTTAAAATTTGAAAATTCTATTTATGGTAATACTTTACATATATACTAGACTGGGGGCAATGAATGTAATTTGTAGATTAAATGGATAGATAAAAGTTTCAGAATCATTTTAAAACTTACTTTCCTTATCTAAGTCTTATAAATTTTTTCTTGTTCCACAAAACGTGTATTTAATATATGGCTGAACAATTAAATTGATTCAAAGCCAAATTAGAAACAAGACAAAATCAAATTTATTTAATGCCTTAATTGTCTTTCTCAAAAAGGAATTGAAAGACAACATATAAAAAAATTAACATGTATTTAAGGAAATTAACATGTATTTTAAAATACAATTTGCCTAGGTCAGACTCATAGAGAATTTTCATAAAAATATGAAATACAGAAATTAAGTAAAATATTTTAATTAATATTTTTGCTGATTTGAAAATTTGAGTTACTTAGAAACTATCTGCTAAAATGGCTCACATCATTTATCAGAACCAAGTTATTAAATACTTGGAGAAACTATTTTCAGTGACACTAAATATTAAGTGATAATTGAAACTATACAGTTTATTTAATACACTTAACTTTCTTAATACAATGTTAAGTCTAAATAAGTTTCCCTTTGATCTAATTATTTTGTTATATCTGCATATCAATGGATACATTAGTATTTTAATAACCATGATTAGAAATATGACTGTATGAACCTCATTTATACTATGAAGATAATCTGGTGTAAGAAATGCTTTTTATTAGACAAAATCTATCAAGCCCTCTAGTGGTATTAATATATAAGATATTGCAATGCTGTGTTTGCTCGATAAAAGCGGGTTGGTTGGTTTGTTTTTTCCTTAAGTGCAGGTATTTAACATTTTCTTGACATTAGCTTTTTGCAAATTCCTATGTATTCTGGCAGGTAATTTGTATAATACTTTAGGATTTTCTTCTAAAGTATAAAAGACGTTAAATGCCTAGACTTAACATTGGAGAAGTGAATAGCCCTCTAAGTGATAAATCATAGTTTTTGAATTAGTAACTATTATTGTTGTGTCTAATGTTAAAAGATATTGAATTGTTTATCCATATGCATGCATAGATGATATATATGCATTATCTATGTGTGTGATAGTAATTATGTTTTCTTAAAAGAAAAATAACAATGTATAAACTTAGAGGAGTTCATTTGAATAAACTACACAATGAAGGATGATGAGTAGCTAAGCTTTTCTTTGGAATTGGTACTGAGATATTTTATACCATTTAAGATCTAAAGGAAACTAATGGTTTTATTCATACCTAGAAAGTTCTCACTGAGTTGCAGGATTTTTTTATTTATTTATTTGTTTGCTCTTATTATAGAAGGCATGCACTTAAAAGAAGAGCTTCAGTTGGAAGATCTACAAAGTGCATTTCAATTATTAGGGAGAGAATTTTTACTTCATGACAGCAGTATTTTTATTTATTTCTTATGAAAAAAGTTGAATTATTAACATTTGATACATATAGCCAGAGGAAACCAAGCAATATCAAATAATAGAAATGAAAAAATAATACTGAATAGTTTAAAACTCAAAGATGGGTCTCAAAGAATATTTATTCTCAAACATAAATGTCTTGACTAATTAACCTTTGTTTCAATTTTTGATTCTGAAATCAGTATCATGGGGCAACCACACAATGTACTGTGGCAGAAAGTACCGTACTAGGTTTTGGAATACCAACATCACTTCTTAGCTCCTTGACAATTTTTTGCTATAAGATGAACATAATCACAGTCTTACCTCATCTCACCAACCCCCAGCTTTTCTGAGGCTGATTGCCTTTCCTTAAGAAAAATTCTCATTATCTCATTCTTCCCACTGAGGAATCCATGCAGTTGGTGAACATGTTGCCTCCTTTGGAACATGGAAACATTTGTGTCCCCTCATTCTTAGTTGTCTCTAATCAAAACTGATTTTAAACAAAATAATCAATCCCATTGGCCATATATCTACTATCTACCCTTTCACAGTGTAAATCTACCAAATTTCAAATTTATAATGGTAGAGGATATGCATTCTTTACTCATTTAAAAATTTTGCTTACATTTAAAAATTTGAAGAATTTTATGTTCAATATTTGTATATGCAAAACTCATATAGGTACACATCTTCTCTCAGTTTTTCCTGGTTTTCTTTCTAGCCTCTTGGGTTTGGATTATTACAATCATGTATGACTAATTTTTATCACAGACATTAACTCCAAGAAGAGAACAACAACAAAACCCATAATACTCTGAAACTTGGTATATTTTAGAATCAACCTTTTATAAAAATAAATAACTTTGTGGAAGTTAGATTTTGGGGCTGAAGTCGGTATAGCCTTGTCAATGTACCCGAATATATCTGTAGATTACACAGATTTGCAAGGTCACAATATTTTCATTGTGAAGTGAGTAAGTTGTATTGTAGAAATTTCTAACATGTCTTCTAATGTGAGGATTTTCTACTTGTAAATTATGGAACCACTCAAAAGAAGGAAGGGAAAATACTGGTTAATAATACTGGTTAAATTATATTACTATATTTCATGTATGTATGAATATATAACAATGAATCCCATCATTACATACACTAAAAACATCAAAAAAAAAGAGACAATATCATCGTATAAAATAATGGAAGCAAAATATTGTATTGTCCATGCTCAGTCTTATTCCATCTTCTTCCTTGGTTGTCAGAGAGAACCTGACCTGGAGAGAACTGAGCTGCCAGGTATCTGAATAGTCAGTTGAAACAATAATCCAAAAGGAAAATAATAGTCAAGCTTTTAAAGACTTATGGAGATAATATAAACAAAAGACTAAACCAGAGAAAGAGAGTCTTTTCTGTTCTACTTTCCCTCATGGAACAGTGCTGGCTGAATGAAGTTCAGGTGCATCAACATGAATTTGATGGTCATCTCATTACCAAGGGATCCCTGAACACAAGTCTCCTATTGTCTTATGGAACCAGGGATCAGAGCAGAATGTGGGTATGTTTGTGGGGAGACAGGGCTGGGGTGGATAAGGACTGAGTCAGCGTAGAGAAAAGTATGTTCATCATAGTTCCCTACTTCCTTTGGTAAGGAAGTCTCAGAAGAGGCATCTGAGGCAGGCCCATATAAAGAGGGCTCTGAGTGAGGTTCTGTGTTGTAGACATATAGGTATGCATGAGTATGGCTGGCTGCTGGGGACCTGACACTTGACTGCAGCTACCTTCACAGACTGCAGTGCACTGGCTGTGTACCAAGTTTGGTATGGGAACAGCAGATTTTCCCTTGAAATCTGAAAGGTAGTCTGTAATTGCCCATGGGCAGTCCTGAGAAATCACATGTAGGGTTTTGGTATTGAGCCAGACTTCACCTTGGTTATCATTTTACTTGTCTACTTCCTCTTGAATTTAAATTAGGGAATGGAATACAATAAAATTTGTCATTTACTTAGAAAACTGTGTCACATAAATAGCCTTATTCTAGAAAATAAAATTTAGAGAGGGTCTTGCTTGGCTTGACATGAAGTGCCAATCATACTAAGATAAATCCCCACCCTCAAATAATTTAGTGTCTATGGAGGAGTTCAAAGAAATAATATTTAAAATATCATTATACAAGCAATAATATGATAGTATTGTGCAGTGCTCGGAATATGCCACACTGGCTCAAAATGGCTTACTTTATCTTCACAACTAATTTCTTATTTTTGCCCTGTGATTTTTTTCCATTTTGTCCATGTGAGAATAGAGACTAAGTAAGATTAAGAGGGGTTAAGTTACCTGTCTG